TTTGCTTTTGCATTTGAGGGGTGTGCAAACGTTAACGAATGACATTTGAAGTTTATGTAGTTGAAACTGAAGGCATGACGACTTTACAACATACATTTGCATGTGAATGAGCCTGAGGGTTCTGCAAGCAGGTGGCAGGATGTTCGGCATGAGCTGCTTACAGCTGTCGTCTTGCCAGGGGAGGTCAGTGCGCAGCAATAGAATCATAGGTGTCCTTTTTATGTTAGTTTGATTCGACATAAACGGCACTGGTTTAGATTGGTTGTATTTCATTTATTAGGGCAAGCTATTTTTACCAAAGGACACCTGGGGTTAGAATGATCAAGCATGTACACATCAATGGCCAACAACAGTACACAGCCTGACCGGAGCGTTTTCTCGTCGTGTGACCGATTTGGCACAGCTTGGGCCAGACAATACAAAGCCCTGCCTGCTTGTTTGGGCCCTTGGGAGATGATGCGCAACATGTTTCAGACGTCATAACACATGGTATTTGTGCGTCAGCATGTTTCACTCGCGGGAACCGGAACCAAATTCTCGTTGCAGCTAGGTGCTTGTGTACTACCCATGTGACCAGTGCAGTGTTTGACCTCCGCGGGGAGGTTTCCGCATGCCAATCGTCTTGGCTTCAGGTTGGTGGGGTTGGCTTTATGCAGAAGAGGAATGACGCCCTGGTTGATGCCTCCAAGCTGGCCGAGGCAATGGCTCGAACTCCACAGGGCAAAAATAAATGAATTTTCGGGTTGGATTCCGGAGAGGGCGCCTGAGAAACGACGGCCACAGGTGAGGAAGGCAGCAGGTGCGCAAAATTACCAGATCCTGACACAGGGAGGTAGTGACAAGAAACAGTACCGGGCATCCATGTCCATGCGGCCTCGTTTTCTGGAAGGCCCTTGTAAACAAATGGTTCTGATCGGAAAGTTTTGGTCAGTCTGGGAAGCCAGCGGGTAAACCTCGCGCGAAGACTTAGCGGGCTTGGATGTGGCTGATTCATTTGCGCAACCCGCAACAGTTGGAGGCTTGCTTTTCAGTTGCCCTCTCAAAAGACTTGTGTTGCCTCCGTGCCAGAGGAGCACAAGAGTCCAAGATCTAAGTATGGTCAACTTTTCGTTGTTCTAAGTCTTCGTGCCCTGTTCTTTGAGAGTATTCCCATCGCTACTTCCCATATCCTTTTGGGTTGAAGACAAGGTGCCCCAGCTAGGTGCCCTTTCTCACCCTTCTTTGGTTAGGAGGGTTCCCCTACTAAAATGGACTACAGAAAAAAGGGTGCCCTTATTCTAACCTCTCTACCGGAGGACCTAGAAGAGAAGGGCCTTCTCAGCGGAGTTTGGTTGGGAAAGATGGGTTCCATGTGTTATGCCATCCACACAGCGAAACCCCTGGAGATTTGTCGAAAACATGGGAAGTCTGTTATGGGAAACAATAAGTGGCCGGGAGGCTCAAGGGTCACGACCCCTTTCTTTGGCATCTGGACCCTCACAATTACAACTTAAAAATGGGCTAGATCAACTCAAATTCATGGTTGGGTTTGGAGGGTACCAACTGAAAAATGGGGTAGAGAGCAACCCAAACTTATGGAATGGGTGATGTTTTCTTTTTTTTGTATGGGTCGTTTGAGGGTCTGGGTACCCTTTTCAAAGGGTGGGTTTTTCCAGAGAATTGGTTAAAAACCCACTTTCCGGGTCGCCCCTTCTTGAGACGAACCGTCACATGTTGCTTAAAAGTCAGGCCCCAGTTTTGTGGTGCCCTTCATGCAACCTGACTCAGGCTGTTCCCCCCCCCCCATCCCGAGGGGTCCAAAAAGGAATGCTTCTTGCCGGATGTTTGTTGGGAAGCTCGGTGGCAACCGCCAACAGGGTGGAGTTCCACCTAAGCTTGGTGGCTCAACCAGCCATCCGGTTCCTTAGCTTTTTAGCTCTTTTTAGGTGGTTTAGACTTCATGGTTGTTGGGAAGCATTTCACATGTTTGCTTCTTGTGGTTTAGTGGGTGAAATCCAACCACTTAACTGCTAAAATTTAAGTTTTTGCTCCCCTTCCAACGTTGACCAAGTAGTGGTTGGTTTGCCATTTAGCCCACTAAAAATGTTAGTCACTTTGAGCGGGGGATCTGAGGACAGCTCAGTAACGGGGGACCTGTTTTGTGGGTTATAACCCAGATTGCCATCAACTTACTAAGTCAGCCGAACACCGACCCCTTGCTCTTAGTCGCTTTGACGCACTAAAGGTGGTCACTGCCAAGAAAAGCCTACCGGACAACGCGCAGCCCGGGGCCTGGCAAGCACCATTTGTGTGGACGCCCTTTTCGAGAAAAAATTGGACGCAAACACAGACACACCACGCTGCGTCGCACAGAGCATGCGCAGGCGCGCACGTGCACGAGCGCACGCACACACACGTGCACATGCGCGCGCACGCACTCGCACACACACCCGCCTCCACACCTCCATCCACCCCCACACCCCACGCACCCACGCACCCACGCACCCACACACCCACACACCCAGACACCCAGACACCAAAACACCCACCCACCCACACCCACACAAACACAGACACCCACCCACAGACACACACAGACGCACACACACGCACACACGCACACACGCACACAAATACACACAAATACACACAAATACACACAAATACACACACATACACACAAATACACACAAATACACACAAATACACACAAATACACACAAATACACACAAATACACACAAATACACACAAATACACACAAATACACACAAATACACACAAATACACACAAATACACACAAATACACACAAATACATACAAATACACACAAATACACACAAATACACACAAATACACACAAATACACACAAATACACACAAATACACACAAATACACACAAATACACACAAATACACACAAATACACACAAATACACACAAATATACACAAATACACACAAATACACACAAATACACACAAATACACACAAATACACACACAAATACACACATACACACACACACACATACACACACACACACACACAAATACACGCAACTACACACAAATACACACAAATACACACACATACACACAAATACACACAAATACGCACAAATACACACAAATACACACAAATACACACAAATACACACAAATACACAAAAATACACACAAATACACACAAATACACACAAATACACACAAATACACACACATACACACACACATACACACAAATACACACAAATACACACAAATACACACACAATTACACACAAATACACACAAATACACACAAATACACACAAATACACACAAATACACACAAATACACACAAATACACACAAATACACACAAATACACACAAATACACACAAATACACACAAATACACACAAATACACACAAATACACACAAATACAGAAACAAAATACACCAAAAAATACACAAAACTACACAAAACTACACAAAACAACACAAAAAATACACAAACATACACAACAATACACAACAATACACACAAAAATACACAAAACAACACAAAATGTACACACATACACAAAAAATACACACAAATACACACAAATACGCACAAATACACACAAATACACAAATACACACAACTACACACAACTGCACACAACTACACACAACTACACACAACTACACACAACTACACACAACTACACACAACTACACACAAATACACACAAATACACACAAATACACACAAATGCACACAAATACACACAAATACACACAAATACACACAAATACACACAAATACACACAAATACACACAAATACACACAAATACAGTGACGACACACACACAGTGACACACACCGAGACACACCGAGACACACCGAGACACACAGAGACACACCGAGACACACAGAGACACACAGAGACACACAGAGACACAGAGACACACCGAGACACACAGAGACACAAAGACACACAGAGAGACGCAGAGACGCAGACACACAGACAAGCAGACGCGCAGACATGCAGACACGCAGAGACACACAAACACAAAGGCACGCCCACACCCACACAAACACTCGCGCACACTGCCCGTGCCCGCAGCTGCACTTGCATTCGCGCGCACGTGCGCGCCCGCGCCCGCACTCGCACCCGCACGCGCGGGCACTCGCGCGCGCGGGCACGCGCGCTTTCACACAGACACACAGACACACAATTTCACGTACACAAACACGCATGCGCACGTACACGCATGCACACACAGACACACACACCACGCACACACACACACACACAAACCCACCCACCCACCCACGCACGTACCCACCCTACGCACGCACGCATGCATGGACCCATGCCCGCACAAATGCCACAAGCACTCGCGCACGCTCACGCCCAGCGTGCGTACGCGCACGCACAATCACTCGCGACACGCGCACACGCGCGCACGTGTGCACGCAGCACCTGCACGCGCTGACACGTGCACACGGACTCACGCGCACACTAATGTACGGCACACGCGTGTACACCTAATTAGCTTTCCACGCAACAGGGCCATGGTCGCCTGCTTCGAGTCAAAATTGACAGTGGCACGTGGCAAGCTGCACAGTCTAAAATCAGGTAACCCCTAGTTTATGGTGTAGTCCTGAAAGAGTTCGCATTGAGCTGGGTATGGGCATGGGATCTAACATTGCGCTTGAGTTTTCCTCAGCATCTAGCAGGGCTGCAGATTTGTCTTGGCGCTTGAAGCTACCTGCTGCGTCCGGCTAAATGTTGACCTGCCGCGAATTGGTGAGGAAGGATCTGATTCTGGCGTCCATTGCGATCAAGTACACGACCGACCGGCCTGTCTTACAGAGTTCATCTGCATCGTGTTTGCCCAACCCACCTAACACTGTGAAGGTGACTGTGCAGAATGAGTCATAGGCATTCGTGCTTGCGGATGGCACCAAAGACTTCTGTTCTGGGCAGCTTCTTTGAGGTTGCAACCGCGTTCCTTGGAGCCCTTTCTTTCGCTTCGGGAGCCAGGCAGTCCAACTCAGTGGGATACAGCAAGGACCGCGTTTAGATGACCAAATTGAACGAGCCGCAGTTCCTTCCCTGTCGGCTGGCCGGGTCTGATGTTTTTGTTGGGACTCAGGAGTTCCTGCCGGGGGACTCGCTGACTTGGGAACTCACGGGGTGTTGCTCGTCGAAATGAGGGCCAAGGCCCTCCCCAACTTGCACATCTTCTTGAATGGGTTGTGCAAATGAGGCGACAAGTCGCTTCTCAGCTGTTTTTCCTGCATCTCTGGCTTGGACCACAAAATATATAGGTGATTTCCCGCGTGCCATCTCTGGGAGTTTTTCGAGATGTCCGCCAGCTCAGGGCCCTCGATTCAAGCGCTCATGACAATAAAAAAGGCGCACGACCCATTCCTTCGCGTCGAACTCACGTCGAAGGATGGCATGATGGTGGGCGTCGGTGCTGGCCAGCAAAGCCGTGGCTGATCTCAGACAGCCGCCGGCAGCGTTTTTCATGCGCGGGCGTGTCCTTTTTCTATCTTTCTTTTGAGGGGCACCCGTGTGGGTTGCATGGCTTCAAAGGAAAACCAAAAGGACACTCACCATTTGTTCAGTTGTTCCCCATTGGGCTATGGCTCAAATAAACGTACCAAAATAGAACCAAGGACTAAATCTTTAGTAAAACCCCTTAGTACATGGAAGCAAAGACTAAAACCTGCGTAACCCTAGCTTGTGAATTTTTGGGGACACCCATTTCAAGACGCTCCGTGCCTTTTCGTTCGGAACACTCGAAGGGTCTGACCGCCTCGGGTTCGGCTGAAGGCGTGGACTGCGTGAAGCTCGCGGGGCGGAAAGTCGCCACGTGGTGGCTGCGGCCGGCGGCCTACGTTTTGCCGATTTGGCTGCGGTGGTCAAAGCCGTTTGGGATCCCATTTTGGGGTAGGTGCACCACCCTTTTCAGAACGTATTTTGGTGGTTAGATTGGGATGAAGACCGTTTTGGATCCCATGTTGGTGGGTAGGTGCATTCACCACCCATTTTAGAACGTATTTTAGTGGTTGGATTGCAATGTTCACTGGGGGTATGGGTTTTTGACCCATGGCCATTTTTGTTGGCCGATAACCAGATGGTCCTTTTTGATGCTTTAGCCGGAAGCAATGTCATAGCAAATCAATGCCCCCTTGCAATTCAATTCTTTCGCAGCCTATTTACATCAGCAAACTCACCTGCCACCCGCACACAAATAACTGTTCTCTCATGTGCTTCTGCAAGCAGCCATCACGTGCTGCAGGGTTTTTTGGGTCGCTGGCGTCTCAGGTTCCATCCAAAGGCCTGAACTGCGCTGACTGGTCGCTCACCGTGAGTGTTTTTTCCATTTTGTTTTGCTTCGGAGGTCAAGGGCTTGCCCTTCAGAGAAGGTGCTCGCGCCTCAGGTTCGAGGTCAAAATCTAGTTTAATATGCTGGACACCCCCCAGATTGGGATATGTATGTTCGCCTGCCCTTCAAATGAGATGTTTCTTTCGCAGTCAGGTCAAGCGGCAAGACCGAGTCAATGCGCGTGTCCGTGGACGCCTCAGTTCTCAGCATCAGAGCCTCGCCAGCTCAGACAATAAGGATATATCGAGGGAGACATGGAGGAAGCAGAGAAGACCGAGTGGCTGAAGAACTTTGACTCCCCGCGGCGAGCTGAAATGCCCCACTTCGGTTCTTTCTTTGTGTTCACAAAGTTTTTCTTTTGCTTTTGTTCTTAAACAAAACAAAAGCAAAGAAAACAGCCAAAAAAAGCGCAGAAGAAGCAAAGAAGCAAAAACAAAAGCACCTCAGGCAGCAGCAAGGTTCTTTCAGCCGTTTCTCGTGTTTCGCCGGTTTTGGAAAGCGCTCAAGGCCGGAGCCCTTGACAGCGGAGGACAAGGCCACCTTCCTGAAGGGCCGGGTCCCTGGATCCGCTCTCGCGGGCGTGTGGCGGGCAGGTCTCAGGTTCCAGGAAAGAATGACATGGGTTGTGGCTCAAGATGGAGCTGGGGTTGCCGCAGGTGTTAGTCTTCGGTTCCGTTTGCCAAGGGTGCCATTTTGGCAACATATTTTTGAGCCCAGCCACATGCACACACACACACCAGCTAAAAGCAAGGGTGGGTTGAGGTCAGGTTCCACGGAAAACTGGCATGGATGTGGTTGTTCTTGGGAAACAGCTTACATTTTTGCTTCTTGTGGTTTAGTGACTAAGAAATCCAAATCCACTTAACTGCTATTTTTTTTTGATAATTTTTGCTCCCCTTCCAACGTCAACCAAACGCCTTGGGCGTTTCCGAGGCCTTGATGGCGTGTCGATCTCGTCCGACGCCTTCTTCCCCTTCCGGGACTCGATCGATCATGCCACCAGGACGGGCCTGGAAGCCGTGCTTCCACTTCCCTCAGTCACGCTGCTTTTGGGATGTTGCTGTGGTGGTGGGATCCCATTTTGGGGTAGTCTATTTTAGTGGGGATTGGCTGGGGTTACGGGATTTTGATCCATGGCCATGTGGTGAAGGTATGGGTTGGAAGCACCCCTTCCAACCTGAAAGGCGTGGAAAGATGGTATTGAGCATGACGTTGGAGGAAGCCCTTGTATCACATTTGTCAACACCTTGCACCAAGATGCTCAAGCATGGCATCTCGGTACTGCTTGGATAACATCCTAGCACGTTGTTTCTGAGGTATCCTCCTCCCTGCATACCCAACAAGCCTTGGCTTGCTACTTTTGACCTCACTGTATACTGAGATCCCGCTTTTTCAGAAATGGAGGCAGAGAATCGGGGTATGGGTCAAAATGAATCCACCAGGAATCGGACCGCAGGTTTTAGTCCTTGTTTCCATTTACTACGGCTCCATTTTGGGGTTACCGTATTTTTGACCCACAGCCATATACACATGCTCCACAACATGGTTGTTGTTGGGAAACATGTTATATTTTTGCATATTGTGGTTCAGTGGATGCAATCCAACCACTTAACTGCTAAAGTTTGAATGCTTGCTCCCACAGCCAAGCGCCAGGGGGCGATTTTTTTCGTTTCGTCGCCAGGCTGGGCGTGAAGTACGTGGCGCAGCCCGGCGGCTCGGTGGCGGACGCCGAAGTCATCGATGCCTGCAACACGTATGGCATGGCGGGGCTCTCAGCCCTCGCGCCCTGAATTTGAATCCGTTGGTATGTCAATGTGGCCATGGTTCAAATCCGTTTTGGATCCCATTTTGGTTGGTAGGTGAATTCACCACCCAATTTAGAACCTATTTTAGGGGTTGGATTGGGATGTTCACTGGGGGTACGGGGTTTTGACCCATGGCCATGTGTCGCTGTCTTGGAGGGAGAGACAGGGAGAGAGAGGGCTCACAGGCAAGTGTAAAGCGAGGTACATCCGGTGATGGTGAGTTTCTGGGACTTTCACATTTTCATTGGTCTTTGGATGCTAAGACGCGAGAGGCCAGCTTGATGCCTTTTCTGTGCGCTGAGGCTATGGCCTTCACCAAGTTGAGGTTGTTCCACCACTGATCTCGTGCACGCGGGCCAGCAGGTCAGCCTTGGCCTGACGTTTGAAGCTTTTGGAAAGAGTCGACAGTGGAGCTCTCGGCGATCCATTCCATCCATGATTTTTGCAGATGGCTCAGGGTCTCGCAATCGAACAAGTATCAACTGGACACATCAGGCATTTCTGGCATTTTGGCCAAAGCGGGATTGCGCGACCTCTGCCAGCTCAGTTTAGGTGTCCAAATTTTGTTCGCTTTTGACCCGCCAAAGCGGCAGGAAGTCGAGGGCTTGCGCTCCCAAAAAGCAATGCGCTGGGAGAGAGTCGGAGCGACAGGTATTGGTTTTGATTAAAACAGTATAGACATCGACTATTTTCATTGCGGTAGTCATATGATTCCTCTTGACTAGATATATGCCAGTAATGTCCGGCAGAGCCAGATGCTGCCCATCTCCAGGCTTGCGGCTTTGTCTTTGGGCACATCCAACGAATTCGGACGGTTCATGACTCTAAGAAGCTCGATGCCCACGAAACACTACCCCTTTGGCTTTTGGGGGTTGGAGACTTGGATGCTAGATGTCGATGCATTGTGAGTTGCCATGAACTGTGCTTTTGTTGTTCCTCGCGACCTGGAAGTGCACATCAAAGATATGTCCTGCAGATTCCCACACCTTATGCTTTCTGGCCTTGCTGGAGCCAGTCGCCATGCTCGCAACTGAAAGATCCGCTGACCTGCGCGTCGCAGCCCTTCAGCCTGACCTGAATGCGCCATGGAGACCACAGGGATGCCCCCACATCGGGTCGCCAGGGATTTTTGAAGTGGAGTTGGATTGATGGCCCAACGGCCGGACTGAGTTGACCACCGGTGTGGAAGGCCGTAAAAGGTGCACTGAGATTGCCGCGTGCTTGTAGCATGCGTGAGCTTTCCATGCCTGTAAAAAGGTGTCCAGTACGCTATGGCACTCGTCACAGTTTCTTTGCTGATCTACTTGTCTCGTGAGCCAACACTGTCAAGCCCCTAAGTACATAGCATTAGCGCGATACCACTGCATGTTGGAATTGCTCTTCAATCTTTTAGTGTTACTGGTGGGCTTCAGGCCCTCAACTGAAGCCTTGGTCGCAGGACGCCAGAGATGCAAGGGCTGCTTGGAGTGAGAGTCCAAGGTGGGATTTGTTCGCAGGAAACCAGTTGTGGATGTGTTCGGAGATATGTGCACATGGCATCCAAAGATATGGAGGCACACCTTTGCGAAGTTGCATGAAGGCGCACTGGGCCCAACGTGCGCAGAGTTTGGGTCGAGCTGCACAATTTGGGCCGCTTAGCGCAGAATCAAGTCATGAAGGTCTTGGCTATCACAGTGCTAGCCCTGGCTGCTGGCGAAGTACCCAACCTTCGAGGAACCCCCTCTGAGGCATCTGAGAAGCCTGATGACCATGCTGTGGAAGAGCCTTCCATGGTTGCCTTGGAGAGTGTGGGTGTTGCAGGCGCCACTTGTGAGAAGTGGGTGACCTGCAAGGATGGTTTCTTCGGCAACATCCGTTGCAGTGGTTCTCGCTACTGTGAAGTTTGGGGTCCCGCACCAGTGCCACATGGCGCAACCTGCAAGAAGTGGGTGAGCTGCAAGGATGGCTTCTTCGGCAACATCCGTTGCAGCGGTTCTCGCTTCTGTGAAGTTTGGGGTCCTCCAGCAGTGCAGTTCCAGGAGCAATCCGAAAAGCCTGACGACCACGCTGTGGAAGAGCCTTCCGCGGTTGACTTGGAGAGCGTCGGCGTTGCAGGCGCCACTTGCGAGAAGTGGGTGACCTGCAAGGACGGTTTCTTCGGCAACATCCGTTGCAGTGGTTCTCGCTACTGTGAAGTTTGGGGTCCCGCACCAGTGCCACATGGCGCAACCTGCAAGAAGTGGGTGAGCTGCAAGGATGGCTTCTTCGGCAACATCCGTTGCAGCGGTTCTCGCTTCTGTGAAGTTTGGGGTCCTCCAGCAGTGCAGTTCCAGGAGCAATCCGAAAAGCCTGACGACCACGCTGTGGAAGAGCCTTCCGCGGTTGACTTGGAGAGCGTCGGCGTTGCAGGCGCCACTTGCGAGAAGTGGGTGACCTGCAAGGACGGTTTCTTCGGCAACATCCGTTGCAGTGGTTCTCGCTACTGTGAAGTTTGGGGTCCCGCACCAGTGCCACATGGCGCAACCTGCAAGAAGTGGGTGAGCTGCAAGGATGGCTTCTTCGGCAACATCCGTTGCAGCGGTTCTCGCTACTGTGAAGTTTGGGGTCCGCCAGCAGTGCAGTTCCAGGAGCAATCCGAGAAGCCTGATGACCACGCTGTGGAAGAGCCTTCCGCGGTTGACTTGGAGAGCGTCGGCGTTGCAGGCGCCACTTGCGAGAAGTGGGTGACCTGCAAGGATGGTTTCTTCGGCAACATCCGTTGCAGTGGTTCTCGCTACTGTGAAGTTTGGGGTCCCGCACCAGTGCCACATGGCGCAACCTGCAAGAAGTGGGTGAGCTGCAAGGATGGCTTCTTCGGCAACATCCGTTGCAGCGGTTCTCGCTACTGTGAAGTTTGGGGTCCTCCAGCAGTGCAGTTCCAGGAGCAATCCGAGAAGCCTGATGACCACGCTGTGGAAGAGCCTTCCGCGGTTGACTTGGAGAGTGTTGGCGCGGCGCCACTTGCAAGAAGTGGGTGACCTGCAAGGATGGTTTCTTCGGCAACATCCGTTGCAGCGGTTCTCGCTACTGTGAAGTTTGGGGTCCCGCACCAGTGCCACATGGCGCAACCTGCAAGAAGTGGGTGACCTGCAAGGATGGTTTCTTCGGCAACATCCGTTGCAGCGGTTCTCGCTACTGTGAAGTTTGGGGTCCCGCACCAGTGCCACATGGCGCAACCTGCAAGAAGTGGGTGAGCTGCAAGGATGGCTTCTTCGGCAACATCCGTTGCAGCGGTTCTCGATATTGTGTGGCTTGGTAGGCTCGTGGTACAGGCTTGAGGTACCGGCTCGTGGTACCGGCTCGTGGTATCAAAGTTCTGCTTCTTTTGAGTAGTTTTGAGCACTGTTCAGTGCATTTTTGCCGCAAGCTTGGCTTGTGCAAGCCAGACGGAAGTCCCAGTGACTGGAGTCTGCTGTAAAGGATCCGATATTGGTGAGATTGCATCTTTCCAAGACACATCAGTGAGAGTTGTTGACACAGATCTAGCCTCACGTTGTTCCCACCGGCTGGACTGAGTTGACCATCGGTGTGGAAGGCCGTAAAAGGTGCACTGAGATTGCTGCGTGCTTGTAGCATGCATGAGCTTTCCATGCCCGTAAAAAGGTATCCAGTACGCTATGGCACTCGTCACAGTTTCTTTGCTGATCTACTTGTCTCGTGAGCCAACACTGTCAAGCCCCTAAGTACATAGCATTAGCGCGATACCACTGCATGTTGGAATTGCTCTTCAATCTTTTAGTGTTACTGGTGGGCTTCAGGCCCTCAACTGAAGCCTTGGTCGCAGGACGCGAGAGATGCAAGGGCTGCTTGGAGTGAGAGTCCAAGGTGGGATTTGTTCGCAGGAAACCAGTTGTGGATGTGTTCGTAGATATGTGCACATGGCATCCAAAGATATGGAGGCACACCTTTGCGAAGTTGCATGAAGGCGCACTGGGCCCAACGTGGGCAGAGTTTGGGTCGAGCTGCACAATTTGGGCCGCTTAGCGCAGAATCAAGTCATGAAGGTCTTGGCTATCACAGTGCTAGCCCTGGCTGCTGGCGAAGTACCCAACCTTCGAGGAACCCCCTCTGAGGCATCTGAGAAGCCTGATGACCATGCTGTGGAAGAGCCTTCCATGGTTGCCTTGGAGAGTGTGGGTGTTGCAGGCGCCACTTGCGAGAAGTGGGTGACCTGCAAGGATGGTTTCTTCGGCAACATCCGTTGCAGCGGTTCTCGCTACTGTGAAGTTTGGGGTCCCGCACCAGTGCCACATGGCGCAACCTGCAAGAAGTGGGTGAGCTGCAAGGATGGCTTCTTCGGCAACATCCGTTGCAGCGGTTCTCGCTACTGTGAAGTTTGGGGTCCTCCAGCAGTGCAGTTCCAGGAGCAATCCGAGAAGCCTGATGACCACGCTGTGGAAGAGCCTTCCGCGGTTGACTTGGAGAGCGTCGGCGTTGCAGGCGCCACTTGCGAGAAGTGGGTGACCTGCAAGGACGGTTTCTTCGGCAACATCCGTTGCAGTGGTTCTCGCTACTGTGAAGTTTGGGGTCCCGCACCAGTGCCACATGGCGCAACCTGCAAGAAGTGGGTGAGCTGCAAGGATGGCTTCTTCGGCAACATCCGTTGCAGCGGTTCTCGCTACTGTGAAGTTTGGGGTCCGCCAGCAGTGCAGTTCCAGGAGCAATCCGAGAAGCCTGATGACCACGCTGTGGAAGAGCCTTCCGCGGTTGACTTGGAGAGCGTCGGCGTTGCAGGCGCCACTTGCGAGAAGTGGGTGACCTGCAAGGATGGTTTCTTCGGCAACATCCGTTGCAGTGGTTCTCGCTACTGTGAAGTTTGGGGTCCCGCACCAGTGCCACATGGCGCAACCTGCAAGAAGTGGGTGAGCTGCAAGGATGGCTTCTTCGGCAACATCCGTTGCAGCGGTTCTCGCTACTGTGAAGTTTGGGGTCCTCCAGCAGTGCAGTTCCAGGAGCAATCCGAGAAGCCTGATGACCACGCTGTGGAAGAGCCTTCCGCGGTTGACTTGGAGAGTGTTGGCGCTGCAGGCGCCACTTGCGAGAAGTGGGTGACCTGCAAGGATGGTTTCTTCGGCAACATCCGTTGCAGTGGTTCTCGCTACTGTGAAGTTTGGGGTCCCGCACCAGTGCCACATGGCGCAACCTGCAAGAAGTGGGTGAGCTGCAAGGATGGCTTCTTCGGCAACATCCGTTGCAGCGGTTCTCGATATTGTGTGGCTTGGTAGGCTCGTGGTACAGGCTTGAGGTACCGGCTCGTGGTACCGGCTCGTGGTATCAAAGTTCTGCTTCTTTTGAGTAGTTTTGAGCACTGTTCAGTGCATTTTTGCCGCAAGCTTGGCTTGTGCAAGCCAGACGGAAGTCCCAGTGACTGGAGTCTGCTGTAAAGGATCCGATATTGGTGAGATTGCATCTTTCCAAGGCACATCAGTGAGAGTTGTTGACACAGATCTAGCCTCACGTTGTTCCCACCGGCTGGACTGAGTTGACCATCGGTGTGGAAGGCCGTAAAAGGTGCAAAGAGATTGCTGAAAATATATTACAGAATAATAACGAAAACACATTTAATGCATTTCTAAAAACTACAACAACCAAAATTGGCTTAATGACTATTCGACATACCCTCCTACAACAATAATAATAATAATAACAAAAACATTGAGCGATTATATCGAATACTGCTCGGATAATTGAAAATAAATATAGTATATTAAAAAGCATTGTTTATTACCCTGGATAGAATAGTGTAATTCTAAGTGTTATATGGTGTTTTATTCGTTTGTGTTATAAGTGGTTTGTGTATTATTGTTTTTGGTTATATTTTATGAAGGTTTATTAAAAAGAATGTTATTTTAGGTTTATATTTTTTTTTTCATGGAATTTATAATTAGATTTTTAATTTTTTAATAGTGTATTTATTGATTATTATGGTTTTGAATTTTATTTTGTTGGGATGGGATTTGATATTATTTTATATATAGATATTTATTTTTTTATTTTTGTTTAAATATTTTATTCTAATTTTTATTATAGTTTTTGTTTGAAATTATGTATTGGGTTTTTTGTAATTGTTTTATTTTTATGTTTATTTTTATTTATGCATAATTATTTTGTTGTTAATTATTTAATTTAGAAAATTTGGATTGTTATTTTTGTATTTCTATTAAAGATTTATTGTAGTTTTTGGTGTAATTTGTTTTTATTATTATATTGTTTTTTGTAAAGTAAATTATAATAATGAATATTTATTATTTGCAATTATTTAAATAGATATTGAATTGTATATTAATATTATATTTTATTTATTTATAAGGAATATAATATTAAATTATTTTATAAAATATATTTATTATGATTTATATTTAATATTATAATATTATAGAATAAAAATGAGGTTTATATGATTTTAAAATAATATATAAAAAATATTATAATTATAATAGGATATTATAATGTTGAAATTACTAAAACATATTTATTGTTACAAATAAAAATATTTTTAGGAAAAAATAAATAGAATTATTGAAATTCCTCATAAAATCGTAATGGTAATATTAAGATGAAATCTTTCGAGTAGATATAATAAATATTTTTGAATCGATTAGTAAATAATAGTATAATTTAGAATATCTATATAATATATAAAACAAAGAAATATTAAATTCACTAAGATAATAACAAAGAAATATTTTAGGATATAAGTGATATTTGGGCAATATAAAAGAAAAGAAAGATTACACGAGGTAAATTATATAAAGGAGAAATACCATAATTATAATTATAATAATAATTAAAATTTAAATAATAAAAAATATAAATAGATTATATTAAAGACATTATCGAATTAGACCTTATTATTAAATATATATAAATAAAATTATATTTATATAAAAACAAATCCAAATTCTTAATTAGAAAAAAATATAATATATATAATATTATATAATAATTATAATAAAAATATGTAATAATTCCTTTAAACCAATATAATATAATTTTATTTTAACATAATAATAATAATATAATATTAAAGAAATAAACAAATTAAGAATAATATTATATATTACATTATATATTCCAACTTCGTAATCCCAGGTCCCATGACGAATTTTGCTACATCGATAACATCCTTTAAATCCTGAATAGCCTTTTCCTCTACTCTTATTATATCCTCCTTTACTATAATTTCCTTTATTACCTTAATCGAATCCTTTATAATATTCTTTATTTCTATATTTGTCTTTGCCTTTATTTCCTTTCTAATGGCTTTTGCCTTTGCCTTTGCAATTTCTTCCTTTCCTCAAAATATAATATTAATTATGTAATATAATTAATCGAATATATATATTCAATCCTATATAAACAAACAAAATAATAAACCTCTCCAAAAATCTATATTATATTCCCATTAGCATCTATGAATAATAACTACAATAATATGTTAAAACAACTATAACACAAACAACATATCAAATTTAATTCTATTCCATATTAAAATCGAAATTACAATTACTACAAATACAAATATAATACTATTATTATTAACATAAATAAATATACTTGTGAATGTAACAAGCAAATCAGGCTCTCACTTTTCGCTTCAAGCGCTATAACTCAAGGGCCCTCGTATTAGAATAACCCAATTATACACAACATATTTAACATCCTAGCTTCAATCTATACAAATTACAGAGAGAATTCATATTCAACCTGCAGGTATTAAACCGCTTTACAGCAAAAAGGATGCGACACTCTGTCACATTGTTCTCATATTTTCTCATTCGAATCTGTTTCAACCACATAAACTCTAGTGTTGATCACCTTCCACATGAAGTCCGCCTTCATTAGCTTCGTAAAACAGTCCGCAACCATTATAACAATTACAATCCAGCGAATCCAATCTCCTCCTTCTGGAGATGATACTGCTGTATGCATTCCGTCTTCATTCCATAATAATTATCTGATGACTGTTATCTCGATA